TATATATATATATATATATATCGATAAATGTTAGGAATATATTCTTTTGAATACAATTGTTATTAGTTGTATACCTTCCGAATCTTCAATTTACAGATCAAGAGGGCACAAGTTGAAATATATTAAAAAAAAATTTAATAAGTCTTACATCTTATTAATCAATATTTTCTAGAATTTTATATTTTTTTTAATAAATTTTAAGATGAAGTATATCAAAAGAATTGTACTAGAAAGTGTATTACTAAGAGTACTTCTTATAGTTCCAAGAACTATCATGCCAACAAATCTACTATAAATTAAAATTTATCAAAAATTATTAAGTTTGGTAGATTTACATATCATTTTTAGAGTTTCTCTCTTAATTTGTGGTAAAATTCTTCCAAATGTGTGATTTTTAATAAATTTTAATTAATACTAAAAGAAAGTGTTAAAAAAAGTGTCCCTAACATTTCTTTTAATGTTTATTATTAATTAGGTTGATTGATGAAAAAGTTAACAAATGAATTTATATTCTAAATAAATTTAGATTCATTATAGTGACATTTTTTTATATATCAAATCTTAGGTATTAGAATTAGTATTATAAACTAATTTAAAAGTTATGGATGAAATAGATTAATGCACATGACCCCCTTATGTTAAAATTAACCAGAGAAGATCTTTCATTAAAAATTATCATTAGTTCATCGATTTTTATAATTTTTGTTTTAAAAGTCGTACGTAGATAATTTTTTTTTTATCAGTTGAAAGTGTAAAAGTTTTTACAACGATGTTGTATGAAAATTGAACTCTTGATATATTTACCAACAAAATATTCAAAAATAAATTTAATTTTTTTTTTCTCTCTCTCTCTACCTTTAAAAATTGTTTTCAACAGTTATGTAGTATATTCTGAGAACTGCATTGGTGAAGCCCAATGGCATTGACACTAGTCACCAGAGCACCCCGGTACCAATTAGCAAGCCCAAATCAAAAATCGCCCAAAACAAAAAATAGCATCCCCTAAAACCCTAGTCTCTGTTTCTCTCTCTTTCTCTTTCTTTCTTCATCACACTCAAACTCGCGATTCATTTCGTTCCAAACCCAATCCCTCGATTCGTTCTTTTGCAGCAATGAGACACCAATGGCGTCTTCTTCACCATTTCATTCGTTCTCGCCACCGCATTCTCAACCACTCTCAGGTACGCACCTCTCACTCTTCCATCCCCCATCGTTTCACTGCCAATTCCACGTTCCCGTTAAACCCTAGTTTCCGTCGTTTCTCCTCCGAACCCGTCCTCGCACACGCCGACACCGACCACATCCTCGTCGCCGACATTTTCTCTAAACCTACGAATTCCGACGAGTTGAAAACCCTCCTCGATTCGAATCGCGTTTCGATCACCCACGACGCTGTCCTCGCGGTTCTGTGGAAGCTCGAATCCGACGTGGACGCCGCGCGGAGGTTCTTCCGGTGGGTTTCGGAGAACCACCCCGAGAGGCTGAGCTCCAAGTGCTACAACTCGATGCTCCGAGTTTTGGGGACGAATGGTGTCGTTCACGAGTTTTGGGATATGGTCAATGTCATGAAGAAAAAGGGTTATGGGATTTCCAAGGGTGTGAAGGAGACGGTGTTGGAGTGTTTCGAAAAGGGTGGGATGAATGCTGATGTGGCGAAATTGAAGGGTTTGTTTGATAACGTGGATGAGAAGAATTGTGCTGTAGTGTGTAGGATTGTGAGGCACAATGTGTGGGGTGATGATGTTGAGAGGCAGATTAGGGATTTGAATGTTAGGTTCTCCGGCGACGTGGTTAAGGCGGTTTTGGAGGGTTTGGCTTTGGAGCCGGCGAAGGCGTTGATATTTTTCCGGTGGTTGGAGGAGAGTGGGATGTTTAAGCATGATGGGGGAACTTATAACGCGATGGCGAGGGTGTTGGGGAGGGAGGATTCGATTGATCGGTTTTGGAAGCTTGTTGGTGACATGAGGAATGCCGGGTTAGAAATGGAGGTTGAGACCTTTGTCAAGGTTTTGGGGCGGTTTTGTAAGAGGAGGATGGTTAAGGATGCTGTGGAGCTGTACGAGTTTGCTATGGCTGGCGTGAATAAGCCTTCGGTTGAGTGCTGTGTCTTTCTGTTGAGAAAGGTTGCTGCTGGGTAAGAGTTGGATATGGATTTGTTTTCGAGGGTTCTGAAGGTTTTTACCGGAAGAGGGAATGCGTTGACTGATTCTATGGCCGATGCTGTCCTGAAGTCTTTGACCAGTGTTGGTAGGACTGGAGAGTTGAATAAGGTTTTGAAAGAAATGGAAGATTGTGGATTTGTAGCTGGTGGTAGATTGCAGGGTAAAATTGCCTTTAAACTTAGTGCTGGTGGTAACAAGGAACAAGCTCGCGAATTCATGGAAAGAATTGAAGAGTCTGGGTCTAATCTTGATCACGAGACATGGGAATGTTTAATTAAGGGGCACGGTGCAGCTGGGAACCTTGATAAAGCTTTTGATTCTTTTAAAGAGATGGTTGAGAAAGAGGGGGTGGCTTCTGCAAGCCATACTTTTCACGTGTTAATGAATTCATATTGCGAAAAGAATAGGGCAGTAGATGCCTGCAAGATTCTTTGTCGACTGGTGAATGAAAAACAGTTAAAGCCCTTGCATTCTACTTACAAGCTGCTGGTAAATCAGTTATTAGCCCAGGGAGGATTTGCAGATGCCTTAATTATTTTGGGTTTAATGAGAACCCATGGATTTCCACCTTTTATTGATCCATTTATTGAACACTTGTCGAAGTGTGGAAGTGGTGATGATGCTGTGTTGTTTCTCAAGGCAATGACATCAAAGAGGTTTCCATCTACATCCGTGTTTCTTCGAATGTTTGAAGCCTTTTTCAAGCACGGAAGGCATGAAGAAGCACAAAATTGCCTCTCTAAATGTCCACGCTTCATCCGCAATCATGCTGATGTCTTGAATCTCTTTTGTTCCATGAACTCTAAAGAAGCTGCTTCTTCTGGTATGTTGGCTGCTTAAGTTTTCAGAATATATCTCGTGTTGTACTCTCTTCAGAAGTATCTGCAATTGCTGTTGTTCGGAAATTTTGGCGAGTGCTTATTCTTTTTTCCTTGATCTTAATTATTGGAAAATAAGTTTAATCTTGCTTTGAATAAAGCCAATCAACCAAAATTTTTGACATTCAAAGATTTTTTTCCTATGCAACTTGTGTTTCTCATGTACCTCAATTCTTTTCTCATACATCATTATTGATCGAAGGACTCCAAACAAATGCTTTGGTTGGTGCTTTGACAGTGGCAGACTTTGTAGTTCAACATCCTGGTTTACACTGTCTTAATGTACATTTTAGATTAAAGTGATGCTATATAAGCAACATGTTAACACCAAAAACTGACAATTCTTTCTACATTTGATTTACTTTTGGTTGTGTTCACTTCAATGTTATCCGACAATTGTTTTTTGCACAAAAATCTTCAGTATCGCTCACTTGTCTCCTTCAATATATTATGCAAGCTTCATTTTTGCTTGGACTGAACCCTTTTCATATGGGATAGTGGGATGATAATATGTTTCTAGTCTGGATTGAAGTAATGCAACCTGATCAAGAGTTGTTGCTTAGCCTGGTTAATTGTTTCTTAGCTTAGTTATTGTGTTTCTTTACCATTTACATTGGTTTACGAGGAGCCACAACCCAACCGTCTACGAATTCGAGTACAATTAGTACTGTTTGAACTAAGACAATAGAAACTCGTGTTTTACTCTATATTTTGTGAATCATGTTCTAATAATGTTACAGTGTCGTCCTGGGAAATCGCTGATGTCCATGATAATTTTATATTGTATACAGTGTTTTAAAAACCGGATCAAACCGGCCGGTCGGACTGGTTGGATTGGGAACCGGTGGTCTAGTCGGTCCGAATCTTAAGTTAGATCGGTTATGCAGTCGACCCGTTTCAAACCGAATTGAATCGGTCAATTTTTCGGTTCAATCGGTGAACTGGTAGGTCAAACCGATTCAATTACACTTTTTTTTATATATATATTTTTAATTTTTTTAAGGGATCATAAATCATAAAAATAATAATGAAAATTAAATTTTTTAATGGAAGAGCAAAGAGTTTTATTAAATATAACAATGACTACTTGTTTTAATGTATTTGTTTGTAATATATAACTTAAATAACTTTTATAGTATATTATTAATTTTAAATTATATATTTAATAATATAATATTTATGTAGATATTACATATATTATTATTTTTAATTTGTATTAATATACAGTTTAACATGTAATTTTTTATGTATTATTTTACAAAATAAAAATAAAAATAATTTTAAATAAAATAGAAAATTTGAAATTTAAAATAAGATATGAATTTATTAAAATTTATAAGTATAAAATATATTTAACATGAATATTTTTTTTAAAAGAAATAATAAAAATCGAGTCATGTGTTGTTCAACTAGTAACCTATCGGTTCAACTTTTAATCCACTGATCTAGTACTTTAACCGGTTTGATGATTGGTCCAATTTTTAAAACTATGATTGTGTAAGGCATGGGCCATCTATAGCGTTAACTTTCTAATGGGCCTCAGGCCTGCATTTCTGTATTATAAGTGGACATGAAAACCTTCAATCCATAAAATGGGCTACTTCACTTCATGCCATATTGTCAACGCGGATTTGGTTAATGTCATTGTCACGTTTTGTGATCAGAGGATGGCCAAGAAAAATGTTACAGGGCCAGCTGTGTTGTATATCGGGACATGATAATTTTCAATTCATAAAATGTTCTAATGGTGGATGAGAGGGCACCACGTTGAATTCTTCAGCCAGAAAAAGACGGCGTTAACTTTCAATGGTGAGAGTTATATCTTTTTTTATGGTTCCCACTCGTCATTCTCTAGCTTAGCCCAAAAATATTAACAATCTTGGGGTTGATATACAAGAAATGAAATTTAATATAAAAAAATCTCTTAATAAACGTTCGTTAGTTGCCCGATTTATAATTTATATTCAAGATTTACGAATGTTACTTTTTTGGATATCTCTTTTTCTAGACATAATGTTTAGGTAGGTATTCTAGTTGCAATTATAAAGGGTCGCCCTGGTCCTCATATTAAAGTTTTTTATTGGGCTTCACTTATATCAGCCCCATTAGCATTGGTAGATCCCTTCAAGACTGATGGATACAATCCTCCTTGTGGGGATGAGGTATAAAAAAAGCACATTCTTGAGGATGAAGCAACATTTTTCCCCCTTTATTGACTTTGCCCATTGCCCATATGGAGCGACATTGAAACAACTCACACCAGTAATAGGAATGTCATATCAATGCCAATTTGCATTAATATGGAAACTCTCAGTACAAATTATTGGAATTCAAGCCGAAATCTAAAGGCAAACCTAATTAATAATTAGAGAAACTAAGTATTCCAAGCTTTTAATTAACGGTTTTTTTTTTCGTTCGATTTTCCTATTACATTCCTGGTTTAATCGATTCAGACATTTATTAATATTTTGAAACTGGGACTTTATTGTTTAATTAGCTTAAAGACACTTTTTTATTTCATTAATAATTGCAAAAGAAAATCATTTGTTTATTATTCTATTTCTTTTTTTAAAAAAAATATTTCTACAATAAATCAAAAAAATTTCGAAGTCTTGGGCGAATCTTATAATGGAGGTGGAATCTAATATAGTTTTAAATTTTGTTTTGCATATGATCTGTAAAGTCATTTATTAAAGTTTTATATTTAGATTATTTTAATAATTTTCAATAATGAGAATTACATTTAATGCATTTCAGTACATAATTAATTTTAAATAAGATTTAAGTGATTTTTGAAAGGTATTGTAATAGTAATTCATATATTAGGAAAATAAAATAGTATTTTGATATAAAATAATACTTCAAATGATGTCTTTTTTTTTTTATTATTAGCATTTCATTCAATATCTTTAATTCTCAAAGTGATTTAAAAAATATTTTTTAAAACAGTTTAAACAAACAAAATATATATAAAAAATTAATTTTTAAAAACATGCTCAATTAGGAGATTTAGTTCTTGAACAAAGCAGAAGAATTCTTTACTTCAAAACAAGCAAAAAAGATGACGAGAAAAACTTTAATTAGAAACATGAGCCAGACACCAAAAAAAAAAAAAAAAAAAAAACTAGGACCCTGAACGAAATGAATTCAATTCTTCTGTCAATTTTTCATGTCCCCAACCATGTTTCCTTTGAGGAAAAAAAAATAGCAAAATATAAAATAGAACAAGCAATTGCCAACTAAGAGAGACGTGTCTTTTCCTTGGTTGTTAATTGTTTTATTCCCAACCACGGACCACCCTGTTTCTTGTATTTCCAAAATCAATGACCTAAACTATCTTCTAACTTATAACCACAACCACATTCTTCCTTTCTTTCAAAGCAAAGTAAGACCCTTCCCTTTTTTCATGCTACCCAATACTTTGAGGCTCCCTATGATAGTACAATAATCACTGCCTCTAAAACTAACGTTTTTAACGTGTCTCTTTTTTCGTTTTTCAACTTTCATTGGAACACTGCCTCAGAAACCGTGTTTTTATGTTTCTCAAGGAAAAAACAAATAGACATAATGCGGTTGGCTATTGCAGCCTCCCCTAAACCAACAAAATGTAACCATAATCAAACTAACAGAATAATATTGTGGTTTGAAGGGTGTTCGCTAACTTGTCAAACACCAATCAAAATTTTATTTATTCCCCATGATCATACTGATAATGACTTGTGCCACATAGTTTTAAACAATGTTCTTTAAGTTCAAACTTTGATGCATTCCTTATCAAAACATTCTGTAATGTATGATTATGATATATTTAACCAAGTCTAGAGTCTGGACAGCAAAAATGTTGGGGTTTGTTCTCCTAAAGGAGATCACAACAATGCTGCTTGAGACACGGAGATGATTTTGGTTGCTATCTGTATCAAAGGCTTGAAAGAAGTGAGAGAGAAAGAAAGGGTGTGGTGTGGTGTGGTGGGGGGGACCAAAGCATGCATATGCTTTTTGTTGCTCTATACTATGCATGCTTTGAGACTGCTAAAGTGATCACTGTCATGGCGAGGGAAGGAATTTTTAAAATTTGCTTTTATTTCTATTTTGTCTTTGCCACAAGCATGCGTGTGATCTCTTTTCCTTACTTTCTTTTTTTAAAAAAAGTAAACATAATATTAATATGAAGTATTCATTATAAAAAATAGTAACTAATCTTTGTTATAGACTTTGAACATACACAAGATTGATATTTTCTTTCCAAAAGAATCTATTTCATATCCAAGAAGCAAGACTTCGAATCTTCGACAACTTATTTAAAGAACACAAATTATTACTACTTATGTTAATTAGTATTAATGTCTTTTTCTGCTCTTTGAAAACCATTTGGCACCCATTTTCTGCTTCATTCATTACAATATATCAAGTGAAGCTTATTGTGCTCTTTGCCTTATAGCACTACCCTTTTTATTCTTTACACAAGCTAACTTTATAGTTAATTAAAGTACACACAGGACAAAGTAATTGGTATGTTCCTTTGCTCCTTAAATTTACAGAATCTAATTGCACGCTCATCATGAGATAATAATATGCATCTAGAATTTTCAATTTTGAAATGTCTCACATCCATGACTAAGTGATACTATTTCAGAAGATGTATGAACGTTAGGTGGTTTTTTCTTTATTGTGATTTGAGAAGCATATAGAAAATGATACTTCAAGTAACATACTCTTCATTTGCTCGAAAATACCTCATTCCTCTGATTTGTTTGGCTAAACATGACATCGTTTTCATTTCTCAATCCGTGACAGCGTTGCCAGTCTGATAGCCAAAGGGGTTGAATGAGACTTATCAACAAACAAAACGTGATGACTGATGAGTTGAATGTGACCAAAGAAGAAGCACAATGTTGTCTTATTACATTACATTTTTTTTGTTCAATTTATTCCTCAAAATTATTTGCCTCAGCATCAAGTGCTTATTTGAAGGAATTTTCCAAGTGGAAATGTTTCTTGGAGCTTAGTGCAGTTACCCCTTTAGTCCTTTGGGAAGACTTACAGAACCACACAGATAAGAAACAAAAGACAAGTTATATTCTTGCAGATAATGTGACAAAAAATGCATCATCTCGTGATGATTAGTAGCTATTGCTTCCCCCAAATCTAATGCATATCAGTTCAAAGCCTAGATGGGACCAAACATGTGAAAAAAGAATCATAAATTGAACCAAGATAATGATATTAATATTGGTTAGGCTCAGTTTCAGATAAAGGTTAACTAATCACTTATCAACGACCCTTTTTAGATCTGATTCACTCTATGATGCAATTGGTATTTGACATGACTACCTCATGGTTTATGTTACAAAAATGAATCCTAACGTACATTATGAATAACATAAAGGGAAATACATATTACATACATGTGACTCAAAGTAGTAGT